TGATTCTCTTCAGATAGCCAAATACCTTGTCATCTAATTTTTGAAGCGCATAAGTGGATTAACGAGATTCCCACTGTCCCTTTTAAAAATTTACTATAAACAAGAACTTTCTAAAATTGACATAAACCAATGCGCACCAAATACTTTAAAACTCACTAATTACCACTAAATGATGAATGCCAACTCAGTAATATACATATTAATGGAAAGCAATGCGCATCAAATACTTTAAAACTTACTTATTGTATTAAATGATATATGCCAACTCTAAAAAAAAAAAAGAAATTCAAACAAGCGCTGGTAAACGGCGGGAGTAACTATGACTCTCTTCAGATAGCCAAATACCTTGTCATCTAATTTTTGAAGCGCATAAGTGGATTAACGAGATTCCCGCTGTCCCTTTTAAAAATTTACTATAAACAAGAACTTGCTAAATTTGACATAAACCAATGCGCACCAAATACTTTAAATCTTTTTATTTGTACTAATGGATAAATGCCAACTCTGCAATATGCACATTATAGGAAAGCAATGCGCACCAAATACTTTAAAACTTTTTATTTGTACTAAATGATAAATGCCAACTCTTGAATATGCATATTATAGGAAACCAATGCGCACCAAATACTTTAAAACTTTTTATTTGTACTAAATGATAAATGCCAACTCTGCAATATACATATTATAAGAAAGCAATACGCATCAAATACTTTAAAACTTTTTATTTGTACATAAATGATAAATGCCAACTCTGCAATATACATATTATAAGAAAGCAATACGCACCAAATACTTTAAAACTTTTTATTTGAACTAAATGATAAATTCCAACTCTTGAATATGCATATTATAGGAAACCAATGCGCACCAAATACTTTAAAACTCACTAATTACCACTAAATGATGAATGCCAACTCTGTAATATACATATTATAAGAAAGCAATACGCATCAAATACTTTAAAACTTTTTATTTGTACATAAATGATAAATGCCAACTCTTCAATATACATATTATAAGAAAGCAATGCGCACCAAATACTTTAAAACTCACTAATTACCACTAAATGATAAATGCCAACTCTGCAATATACATATTATAAGAAAGCAATGCGCACCAAATACTTTAAAACTTTTTATTTGTACTAATTGATGATATATGCCAACTCTGTAATATTTTTATGTAAAAGCAATACGCATCAAATGGTCTATAATGAACTTACAAATAAGCAATGCGCACCAAATACTTTAAAACTTTTTATTTGTACTAAATGATAAATGCCAACTCTGCAATATACATATTATAAGAAAGCAATACGCATCAAATACTTTAAAACTTTGTATTTGTACATAAATGATAAATGCCAACTCTGCAATATACATATTATAAGAAAGCAATACGCACCAAATACTTTAAAACTTTTTATTTGAACTAAATGATAAATTCCAACTCTTGAATATGCATATTATAGGAAACCAATGCGCACCAAATACTTTAAAACTCACTAATTACCACTAAATGATGAATGCCAACTCTGTAATATACATATTATAAGAAAGCAATACGCATCAAATACTTTAAAACTTTTTATTTGTACATAAATGATAAATGCCAACTCTTCAATATACATATTATAAGAAAGCAATGCGCACCAAATACTTTAAAACTCACTAATTACCACTAAATGATAAATGCCAACTCTGCAATATACATATTATAAGAAAGCAATGCGCACCAAATACTTTAAAACTTTTTATTTGTACTAATTGATGATATATGCCAACTCTGTAATATTTTTATGTAAAAGCAATACGCATCAAATGGTCTATAATGAACTTACAAATAAGCAATGCGCACCAAATACTTTAAAACTTTTTATTTGTACTAAATGATAAATGCCAACTCTGCAATATACATATTATAAGAAAGCAATACGCATCAAATACTTTAAAACTTTGTATTTGTACATAAATGATAAATGCCAACTCTGCAATATACATATTATAAGAAAGCAATACGCACCAAATACTTTAAAACTTTTTATTTGAACTAAATGATAAATTCCAACTCTTGAATATGCATATTATAGGAAACCAATGCGCACCAAATACTTTAAAACTCACTAATTACCACTAAATGATGAATGCCAACTCTGTAATATACATATTATAAGAAAGCAATACGCATCAAATACTTTAAAACTTTTTATTTGTACATAAATGATAAATGCCAACTCTTCAATATACATATTATAAGAAAGCAATGCGCACCAAATACTTTAAAACTCACTAATTACCACTAAATGATAAATGCCAACTCTGCAATATACATATTATAAGAAAGCAATGCGCACCAAATACTTTAAAACTTTTTATTTGTACTAATTGATGATATATGCCAACTCTGTAATATTTTTATGTAAAAGCAATACGCATCAAATGGTCTATAATGAACTTACAAATAAGCAATGCGCACCAAATACTTTAAAACTTTTTATTTGTACTAAATGATAAATGCCAACTCTGCAATATACATATTATAAGAAAGCAATACGCATCAAATACTTTAAAACTTTTTATTTGTACATAAATGATAAATGCCAACTCTGCAATATACATATTATAAGAAAGCAATACGCACCAAATACTTTAAAACTTTTTATTTGAACTAAATGATAAATTCCAACTCTTGAATATGCATATTATAGGAAACCAATGCGCACCAAATACTTTAAAACTTTTTATTTGTACTAAATGATGAATGCCAACTCTGCAATATAAACTATAGGAAAGCAATGCGCACCAAATACTTTAAAACTTTTTATTTGTACTAAATGATAAATGCCAACTCTGCAATATACATATTATAGGAAACCAATGCGCACCAAATACTTTAAAACTTTTTATTTGTACTAATTGATGATATATGCCAACTCTGTAATATTTTTATGTAAAAGCAATACGCATCAAATGGTCTATAATGAACTTACAAATAAGCAATGCGCACCAAATACTTTAAAACTTTTTATTTGTGACTAATTGATGATATATGCCAACTCTGTAATATTTTTATGTAAAAGCAATACGCATCAAATGGTCTATAATGAACTTACAAATAAGCAATGCGCACCAAATACTTTAAAACTTTTTATTTGTACTAAATGATGATATATGCCAACTCTGTAATATTTTTATGTAAAAGCAATACGCATCAAATGGTCTATAATGAACTTACAAATAAGCAATGCGCACCAAATACTTTAAAACTTTTTATTTGTGACTAATTGATGATATATGCCAACTCTGTAATATTTTTATGTAAAAGCAATACGCATCAAATGGTCTATAATGAACTTACAAATAAGCAATGCGCACCAAATACTTTAAAACTTTTTATTTGTACTAAATGATGATATATGCCAACTCTGTAATATTTTTATGTAAAAGCAATACGCATCAAATGGTCTATAATGAACTTACAAATAAGCAATGCGCACCAAATACTTTATATTTATCATTAGTTCTAAAAGACAAATAACAACTTTAAAATATAGTATGTAAAAGCAATGCGCACCAATTAGTAGTGAAAAATATATTAATAATTTTTTTAAAAAATTGAAAAAAAAAATTTAATTTTTTTTTCGACCTTTATTGAAATACTATGTATTTAGAAGATTCCTTATATATGAATCAATGTATTTGACCATTAATCGCGATACACTTTTTTTGATGGTTCGGATCCTTGTAAGCACAGCATTGTCACGAGTCGGTGTCTAAGACCGAATGGCTCATATGTGACGAGCGCCTTGGGCGTCTAAGTATATATTTTTTCATTTTGAAATTTTTATATTACTTTAACAACAGAGCATCGACTCACTCGATTCCGAGCGATAGTCAAAAATAATAAACGATATAATGTCTAATGACATTAACAAGACGACTTTTTCAAAGTCTATCGTT